TGTGGTTTTAAAGTCTACTTCTCAGCCTGCTGGGCAGAAAGAACATTTAATACAGTGTTTTGCAGCATTCATTCAAGAAAGTATCCCATTTGGGACCCTGTGGACTTTGAGATGATTCAAGTTGATTTTAAGGTGTGTTACCTTGTCTCCTGTCTTCACTGGCAGTATCTCAAATTGCATGTTGGAGCAATAAATATAGTGAGTGCAGGCATTTCTGTCACAAACTCCTTCAAGAGCAGGAGCTGCAGAAACCACACCCACCCACTCCCCCCAAGCACGCGCGCGCACACACACACACACACACACACACAGAGCTCACCAGCACCTCTGGCTCTCACCTGAACGAGGGACAAAGCAAACCTGTGTTTCTTGGCTTGTTGGGAGTGGATGCTCTGGAAGCCCATTGGGTGACAGGAGGTCAGTTGACACAATAACCATTTTTCATCTTTATTTTCCATTTAGTCCATTTCCTTTCTTAAGTGCGTCTACCAAAGAGGACCCCAGCAGCGAGTGTTTCACCAAGGGAGAGACAGATGATGCAAGATGAGTGGGGAGGTGGCAGGCAATGGGAATTTTCTTTGAATCTGTCTACCTAATCATTGTCCCTGCCTTTTACTTATTTACTTCGTAACAAGGCTTGTAACTGAGGATAGTCACGTAGGGCAGTGGAGAAATGACCCTTACTTTGTTGTCACTTTGGTTGTCATCCTTTCTTCTTCCCACCCTCCTCCCCTCCCAGGATGTCTCACCTGAAGCCAGCTGAAGCAGGTGCCCTCATCTAATCTGCTCCTCTCCTGCTCCAAGGATTGGCAGCCACTGTTCTTGAAAGAGTCCACGGCCTCTCTGCCTGCACTCACCATAGTCAATGCTCAAACATGCAATTTGCAGGATGATGTTTGGCTTTTGCATGACATATTCCAAGTGCCTAGCACATGAAAGATGCTCAAAGAAATACTTGTTGAGAGATGAAAGGCAAGAAGTACGTGAGGAAGAGAGCGTGATTCACACTGGCTTGAGGGCAGGTGAACTGGCCATTTCTTCCCCCTCCATGAGCTCAGCATTAATAGATAGCAAGTTTCCCCAAGACATGTGCATTTTCCATTACAAGCTCATCCATTTACTTGTTGGGAAACCCTACCAGAACATACACTTCCGGAAGAAAGAGACCTTGGATTTCTGTTCTGTCTCTCTATTCCCATTGCCAAATATAGCACCGGATAAATAATAGGCACTGGGTCAAGATCTGTCAGGTTAGCAGGGTGGATGAGCGGATGACCTGTGCTCCTTAAGATTATATTATCTCAGAACATTCTGCAGGATCCACATTCTAGCATGGATATATAAACAGAGGAAGTTACTTTATTATAGTTGAAAGCTTAGTCTTACCCTTGTGCAATCATCCAGTAATCTAATTTATTCACTTTATGTTTACCTTCTGCAGGAACTGCTTTAAAAAATAGTGCCTTGGTCCACTGGGTGAATAGGATGGACGGGAGGATCTGTGCCTCTTGCTTAAGTGTTTGGGGAAATGTTTGCAGAAAATAAGAGCCATATATTCTAGTAAATGAAATTGGGTTCATTTGGGGCACTGTTTTATTATTTTCTATAGCCATACTTAGCTCCTTGTTTCTGGCATCTCTGTCTATGTTTTTAAACTATGTCTGGCTGCACTACAAAATAAAATCAGATAAAGGTCTCTAACGTTTGATAAATGGTTTATTTAGTTGATCATCTTGGCTGCTAGACTGAAATTCATCTGCTGAAATCTGCCAACTTTCTGAACACAGCCACAATTTGCAACTACTTAGAGTAGCTAATGGTCAGGGATTTTTTTTTCTTTCTTTCTTTTTTAATGGAAATAGTTTCCAAAATAGACTCTTAAAAAGCAATCTTAACATTTACATTGAGAAAGTATCATTAGTCTTTTTAAGGGGTTTGAGCGGAGCACTTTTCTATCTTTGTTTGAATTTGCCTTTACCTTATTATCTATTATCTTCCAGATAATCTAGGGAAAGTGATAGCCTGCCTGTGAAAATATACATACAATAAAAGATATTAGGGCTGTGAATGTAATTTATTTTATATTTTCAGCTGGTAAAGCATTTTCTGAAACTTTATAATGCTC